AAGTCAATTGGGTGTGATGCTCTGATTTCTCTCGGGCGTCCAGTTCAGTACATCTAGAAGGGATCTTCCAGGTCCTCATTTTACAGACGAAGAAACTGAGTCCCAAAGAAACGGAGAGTCGCATAGCCCAAGGCAGAGGCAGCATTTGAACTCAGATCCTGGTATTCCGAGGTCAGCAGCAGCTTTTCCATTGCCTCAGGTTGCTTTCCTATGCCCCTCGCAGAGGTGTCGGCATCCTTCTTAGGACTGGTTTTAGCTGCCACCAACACTCCCCAGTTTGTCACTGGGGTGGCTGAATATAATTCATTGGGAAACTAATTCTTCTGAGCTTTGGGGAGCAGGAGTCTGCTTTCCCCTCAGCTCTAACCTATCCCTTTCAGCACCACAGTCCACAGCGTTTCTTCAAAACGAAGGACTGAATGGTCTTCCACCTTCTCACTTCCTTCTCATTCTCCTACTTTCCCTCAGAACACCAAGAACCTGATTAGCTGGGGAAATGTGTGTTTTTAACTAAGTCCTCTCAGTTCATTTTGCTCTTGATGGTGGAGAACATAGGTTTCCCAAGAAGCTGTTTCCATTTCTATTAAAACTCTCATTTGCTCAGGTCTGGGGGATAACAATCAACATGGCCCTTCTTAATTTGCTGTTAAACCCAGTCATGTTGTGAAGACTTTCACTGAAGACCCTTGGAAGACACCCCTACTCTTCTAAACACTTGTTATTGTTGTTTTCTGTCTGACTCTTTGTGACCCTATTTGGGGTTTTCCTGGCAAATATACTGGAGTAGTTTTCAATTTCCCTCTCCAACTCATTTTACAGATGAGGAAACTAAGGCACATGGGGTTTGGTGACTTGCCCAGGGTCACACTGTTAGTAAGTGCCACAGGCTGGATTTGAAGTCAATTCTTCCTGACTACCAGCCCAGAAAGCTCTATCCACTGCATCAGCTAGCTGCCCTTAAACTGTCTGGGTCTCATTTGTTTGTTTTCATAGTATGTTGAACTTGCCTTATACTGCTTCTAGGGCTTCAACTTGGGTAGATTTGTGATCTTGTGAATAAAAAGGCCCCCTCCATCTCTGATGACGGAAGTCCAACTGTGCCTTCCCATTCTCCATGATTCCATGTTCTTTCAAAAATTTCTAGGTCCTCATAGATGCCCCACAAAGGAGCTACCCAAAGTGCTAGAGGCTTTCCTCTCATTGATTTTACTTTTCCTAGGCACCAGTGAAATATTCTGGGTTTACATCCTTTGTCTGTGCTCTGGCTGTACCTCCTTTACTGAGCATACTTTCACCCAATGTTAACCCACAGTGGGTCAATTTAATCTTCAGGAGGCAGTTGGTGATGCAAGAAAGTAACTGGGGATGCCATCTACATAGAGGTGAGAGATCTGGAAGTCATCTGCATAGAGATGAGACCTAATGATATCACTAAGAGAAAATGTAGAGAGGAAGAAGGAAAAAGGGCTCAGGATAGAGCCCTAGGCTATAGCCCCATAGAGCAGGTGAGGCATGAATGTTGATCTAGGATTAGCCAGGTAGGAACAGAACAAGCGAAAAGCAGTTGGGAAAATCCAAGGAGGAGAAAGTATCCCGGATGAAGGGGTAGTCACCTGTTGAATGCTAACTACACACCAAGAAAGGATGAGGACTGAGAAGATGCCGGCACATTTGGCAGTTCACTAGAGATCACTAGTTTCAGCTGAGTGAGGAGAAAAGAGAGGATGTGAGCAAGTTTCTAGGAGTCTGTGAGGAGGTGAGAGTAGCAGGATGATAGTCTGAGGGGATGGTAGGGTCAAGTGAGAGATTTTTTTTTTTTTTTGGTGAGGACAAGTGGGGTTAAGTGACTTGCCCAGAGTCACACAGCTAGTGAGTGTTATGACAAGTGAAGGATGTTTAAGATGTATTTTAAGATGCCTTTCTCTCCCTGGCACCTTGCACATAGTATGTGCTTAATAAATGCTTGTTGGTTGGTTGAGCACAGATGACAGTGCAGAGTTAAACAGGATAACCAAAGGGTCAAGACTGAGAAAGGAGAAAAGTGATGGTCTGTGAGAACAGTTAGGGGCCGGGGTGAAGACCGAATAATGGATTCAGGAAGAATGAGGAAGGAGGAAAGGTGAATATTGTTTAGTCTCAGTACGCCCAAAGATTAGTGCCTGGCAGACAAATGTTTGTTGATTGACTGCTATTATCCAGTGGACAATGGTAGGCACTGTGATGGCCTATCATTCCTTACAGCATTAGGTGCAATTTCTAGAGATGGTTCTTCTAAAAGAAGCACTTTATCTATGATTTTTTGGGAGTCTAAACCTATGATTTCACAGTTGTATGTAGAGGATCCCCCCCCAAAAAAGCTGCCTCTGCTGTTCTGAAATTTATAGTCCTACAGTCCTGTCCTGGTGCCTGGGGCACTGGGAAATTAAGGGATTACCCCAGAGTCACACAGCCAGCAGATGCCAGAAGGTGGGATTTGAACCCAAGCTTTCATGACTACGGGGCTGGCATGTGGTCCATATAGCCAAACTGCCTTTCTAGTCTATCTGCTTCATGGTTCCATATGCTTAGTGGTCCTTCCTCTCTTCCTTCTCCATGTGACATTCTGCTAACTCCCAAGCCCCTGCCACAGTGGCCAGTCCCTTTCTTGTTTACTTCCTTTATCTCCACACAGGCAGATACCACCCCCCCCAAAGTGGGAGGCACTTACCATTCTTTTTAGGAAAATCCCCAACTTTCTTCAAAGCATCCCTCACGGGGCACTTCCTACCTGAGACTTCTGCTGATCTCTGCTGTGTTAGCCCTCTCCTTTATACTGGTTTGATTACTTTATATATTCTGTAAACATTTAATAAATGTTGTCTGAATTCAACTGAATCCTTACTCTGCCAACTTTTTAAAAGACACGATATTAATTTCAGCTTCAGTGACTTCTACATCCCTACCAAATAAAGTCTCAATTGCTAATCCTGACACTCTCCACAATCTGGTGCCAACAAACCTCCTATGTCGTCTTACATTCTAACCAGACAGGATTACTTGACATTTTATTTTCATCCTGCCTCAGACCAATCCTATACCTTTGGGAAAGGGAAGACAATGGAATCAACATTAATATGAGCATACTAGGTGTGGAGTGCTTTACAAATATTATCTCATTTAATCCTCACAACAACCTTGTGAGGTGGGTAGGTGCTTTTATTATCCACCATCTTACCCTGGAGGAAACAGAGGTGAGGTGACTTGCCCACAGTCACACATCTAGTGTCCGAGGTCTCATTTGAACTCAGGTCTTTTTTTCTTTATTTTTGTTTTATTTAGTATTTTATTTTTCCCCAGTTACACGTAAGAACAATTTTTAACATTCATTTTTAAAACTTTGTGAACTCTGGTCTTTCTGACTCCAGGCCCAGAATTCTATCCACTATGGGCACCCTCTAGGCAGCTCAAGTTATCCACCATACTTGAAATGGGCTTCCCTGCTCCATGTTGAAATTTGTCCTGTTGTCCCAGTTCAAATGGCACATCCTTCATGCAATAGCCTCTCCTGCCAGCCGAGAGGGCTCTTTTACCCTTCTATACCCTGCCTGGACCTCTTTTGTGCATGTGCCTCAAAGTCTTTTATCTTGAGT